CTGCCGTTCCGCTTCCGCTGTCATTGCGCTTGGGCCTTAACTCCCGGCAAATAAAATTCAATTCATTATTGTCTTGGACTTGGAAGAGGTAACATCTAGTTAATCCCTTTGAAACTAGCCAACAACCATGTGTATAGCTTATTTTAAAAGCTAAATAAACATGAATTTTAGCTGCATAAGCGAATTTGTGCCTTATAAGATAATCTGCAGTTAAAATATGCTGGTTGCCTACAGCAATAACCTAAAATTATTCCAAGATTTATTGGAGCTATACTCAGAAGTTGATTCTCTTGGAATTATAATCGGTAGTCTCTTGGAGCTCTCCTCAGAATTACGTTGGGTTGATTTATTGACTAAAATTTAGGGGCTGTGCATTAGGGTGCTTCATTTTGAAAAAAAGTTATGAATTTATGATAGGCCACCCTCCAGTTCGATTCATAACCCCAAAATATGAGCCTGTACAAAAAATGGAAAAGATTGATTAGGAGGAGGATTAGAGGTCGTGCAAATGAAGTTTGTCTCAGACGTTATTCCGATCAGAAGTGACGTTTTTGTGCTACAATTTATTGAAAAATTACAAAGACGCCATTTTGAAGAAAAAAATACAGCTTCCAAAATGGCCGAATTTATGGAAACATTTGAATGATTGCCCAGGACACACAATTATGTAAAGTTTCTAACGAATCGGAGAAGGTCGAGTTTTTTCCGTGGAACTACTCTTGGGTAACCGGGAAAACCGGGAAAATTCGGGGATTCAACCCTCCCTAACTCTATGTTGAAGGGATCATCGAGTTATGTAGGATATCGACCAACGGAGGTAAATTTTGGAAATTTCTAAGGAGAAATGGTCGAAGTAGCCTGAATTTCCATCGAATTAGAGAGAGATCGAGTAAGGAAGAGTTGACTGTATAATATCAATATATAAAGATCAAATGTCTGAACAGAAACACATGCACATGAAAAGAGACATTAGAAAATTAAACTGAACACTAAACAAATTTAAAGAACTTCAGATAAGCATAGTAAACTTTTACAGTACCGTACTTTTGGGAAAACCCCTGTGCGACCAACCTGGCCTTGTATCGCATAATCTGCCCGGACTCATCTTCCTTACACTCTTACACCTACTTGCAACCAACCACGTTGCAATGTCGGGGTACCTTGGTAAGGGTCCATGTTTCGTTGTCACGAAGGGATGCCATTACCTCGTTCATGGCCGCTTTCCGGGCTTGCAATCGCTTCACTGTTCTTGGCTCTCTTCCCGCAATGTGCTCGCCTTCCTTTTTGGGACTCACCTGATAGGTTGAGGATGGTTCCATTTATCACTTTCTTATCCTCTTCATTAAGCTCCAAGAACCGACTGATGACTATCTGGCCAGTAGAATTATTCAGCAAACGATACACTTTGCTGTTCGATGCGGATCCGACAAAGGTCATTTTGTTTGACTTCCCTAATAAAAAATTACCACACACGAACGATAGCCCAAATCAAGACCAACAATTGGAATGGCCTTAACTCCATTTTGTAAACAAACCTTGTAAGGCCATTTTCTCGCGAACCGCAACCTTCATTCGCAAACCTGAACCACAATCGGGTAGAGGAGAATTTCCCCTACCTGTTCATTATGTTGGTTTGCCTTTGCGGACTTCGGTTCGAGAGAAAATGGCCTTACAAGGTTTGTTTACAAAATGGAGTTAAGGCCATTTCAATTGTTGGTCTTGAAATGATTGAACTATTCCACACATGGTTTGGATGATACCCCGAACACGTCGTTAAGCAAAATTAACCATACCATTTTTATTAGGGTTCCATCCCTGCATCCGAACACCTTCAAGTGCTGCAATTTGGTGCCGAACCAGATCTCGTAAGGCGTCGATTCAATCGCTGATGATGGCAGTCGATTCTGGACATACGCCGCGGTATTCACAGCCTCTGCCCAAAAGCGACAAGATAAACCAGCATCCAACAGCATACACAATCCCATCTCATTTAACGTCCTATTTCTTCTTTCAGCTACGCCGTTCTGTTGTGGGACATACCCAGCGGTGAATTCAGCCTTAATTTCTTCTTCTGCATAAAACTTGCACATGACATTGCTGGTATACTAACCACCCCGGTCTGAACGGATGACCTTCGGTTTCCGCCCGAATAGAGTTTCAGTGAACGTCACATACTCACGGATCTTGTCGGCAACTTCGGACTTTTCCTTCAAGAAATAGACGACAACATAGCGGCTATGATCATCAATCATCGTCATGTAATACCGGCACTCGCCTGGCGATGTCGTCATAGGACCACATACATCGCTGTGCACGATATCTAATACCGCTTTTGACCTTTTCTCGGCTGCTTGGGGAAACGATGGCCGTGCCATCTTCCCTTCGAGGCAACACTCACAAGTCCGTCGAATTCCGCAATCCTTGACCTTCAACCCAGAGGCCAAACCGCGCCGCTCAATTTCGCCAATCACATCCGGATCTCTGTGACCTAGTCTTCGATGCCACACGTGCAGACAGTCGGCGTTGTGCTGCTTATCACTCACCAGCAACGATTTTTCCATCATGTTCAGTCGGTACAGGCCGTTGCAATTACCGACCCGTCATACACCAACCGACACTGATCCGCGTCGAATTCCACACGAATACCTTTTTCTGTGAGTTTCGAAACAGAAATTAAATTGCCTTCTACAGGGTGATTCAGAATAACTGTCACCGATTTCACAAATATGCAATTCTCAATGGGTAAAATGGGTATATGTTCAAGTATTTTTGTTTTAAGTGTGTACAAATATCAGCTTGTATTGGTAGTAGGATTTGAAATTTCATTCGTTTGTGATTTCAAGCAGCCATTGACGTCAAAATGGAGAATGGCATAAATCTTTAAAAAATCGTGTGTTATCTTTTAGAAACTGAAATCTGTTCGAAAGAATGTAACATTTATTTTTGCATCATTATAGAGGTACAAAGGAACCATGCTTGGAAAATCCGTTCAATATCCGAGCTTAAACGCATCACCAGGACTCAAAAAGTGCTGGAACTAAAGCGTGCGTGCCAGCTGTGGGTAATTTTCATCACAAATGTGGCTGATAATTAAGGTAAAGGGAGAGAGATTTGAAATAAACTATGCTTAGTTGAAGATTTGTATGTAGAATATCTGGAATATAATGATATCAAAAATTCATGCAAGCGTTCAATCGTTATGACCATTTTAAAAAGGGACAGTTATTCCGAATCACCCTGTAGTTCCGGAGCAAAAATCACACCGGTCAACGTAACCGATACTTTTTCGTTACGGCTGTTCACGCACTCGATTTTACACTCACCGACGCCTGCCGTACGAAGAACTTTGCCTCTCGGCGGTCGAAATCTCCGGACGTACACTCTCATCGAGACGCACAAAAGAACTGCGATTTTTCGCCAAATGTGACGTTGCGCCCGAATCAATCACCCACTCACTCGCATCATGCTTACCAGACCGCACCATAAACGTGAACGACCTTCAGTCGTAGCGCTTGTTCTTCGAAACTGTACCGGTATCTGCTTCGTCCGTCAGCTTCACTTTCACTAATTCCAGGGTGAGCTCATCCTCGTTCCGCGCTTCCAAAGCCGTTGTCAGAGGATTGAACAACTCCGGAAGTCCTCGCAATATCAGCGCCACTTTAAGGCACTCCTTCAAATCCGGAATTTCCCAGACGTGCGTACTGCTTCTCAATTTCCGCCAGATAGGCTTCCATGTTATCCCCTACCTTAAAGTTCTGGTTCGTGATCTGCCGAAGTAGGGTCACTCGCTGCCCTAACGTGGTCTTCTCGTGGTGCTCCTTCAGAGTCGTCCACGTGTCCTTCGCGGTCGTTTTGTCACGAATCAGTCTATATTGGCTCTCATTCACCATCAAATGAATCGTGGCTAACGTCTTCTCATCGCCGTCCCTCTAAGCGTTTCGGAGGAGTACCTGGTTCTACATGCTTCCAGAGCTGCTCCCTCCGCAGCAACGCTTTCACAGAGAACGACCATGCTTGATAGTTCGTCAACTTGACAATTTTAGCCCACTCCATCGCTTCGAGAAAAAACAGAAAACTTTTCACACTTCAATTTTCCGACCAGGAACTTCCGTCTGGGCCCATAACCTGTTCGAGGTTTCAAACGCAGGAATAGACTATTGGGGAGAAATAATATAGAGCTGCCGAGTTTTATATTAGCCGCATATCAACCTTATATTGCAGGGAGCTTGTTGAGCAGTTTCAGGCAAAAAGCGAAAAAAACATGAATTTTTGAATCGATCTTCATCGCTTTGCATGAAACTTTGCGTAATTTGTTGTTTTGGGCAATGATTCACATTTTTGCTGAAATTCGGCCATTTTGGAACTTGTAAAATGTTCAAAATGGCGTCCTTGAAATTTTCAAAAATAGTAGCACGGAAACGGCATTTCTGATCGAGACAAAGTTGTAGAGAAAAATAATGTTAAAAAAAAAACAAAACAAATAAAACTATAGATAGCCTTGGGCACTGTTTTCATGAAAAAAAAAATAGGCATGAATATCTAAGGAACTAAGCTTTTATCATTTTGTCGTTAAATCTGTCTCATATAAAAAAAAAGTCTGAGGACACGATGGAGCTATGAAATCAAAAAAAAGTAGTTAAATTCACTTGTGGAAATGGATCTGCCTTATTTTTTCCTTAAATGAAGAATTTTCCCCGATTAAATCTTCAGTTAGGTTAGGTTAGGTTTCTTTATTAAAGAGACTTTCAGCCTTTGACTGGTTCTTCTCTGGATATCTATACATGTTTCATTTGAATCAATCCCGCCCTAGGAATACCTAATCCAATAATTATTCGTTATATGTTATATTTCGGATTTGGATACTAAATTACGCTTCATATCGACTAAACAACGTTCAACTTAATATTCCGAAAATGCTTCAAAAATTTGCTACAATTCCATTTGTGTAAACATCATAAAATTAAAAAAAAAAAACAATCCAAATAACTACTACCACTCACCTCCAACGGGTGTCTGAACGCGGCCCTTCCGCTTATCCCCGCCCGCCGGTATCGATGGCGACGTCTTCGGTTGCGCATCCCAGCTTTCGTCCAGCTCCGTCAAATCACACCCGGGCCGTATGCCATCGCTGAAAATCACCGTCTTTTCTCTGCGTCCCGATCGAGGAGCTCCGGCCCGTTTCAACACTCCCACCGGAACCATCACCGAAATGGGCGATTGAGGTTGATTGATGGCCTGCTGGAACGGTGGCACCGTGGAACAATACTCCATTGGATTGTTCGGATTCGGTTGCCGACTCGCAGACGAACCGGAGGCTCCGGCGGCAATCGCAAACTGAGATCCATACTGCTCTTCTTCCAGTGCCTGTTGCTGCTGGTTGAGAATGATATCGCAGCTGATGCAAATGCGGGCTTCCACATCTCCGAGGTATTGGAGTTTGGCTTTCAGGCAGCAGCACGCCGAACAGAGCAGCTGCCCGCATGCACGACAGTGGTGGCGACGTTTAATGAGGGAGAATTTTTGGTTACATTGCATGCAGAAGTTGGTAGCGTTGTCCGGGACCCAGTAGGGTGGAATTTTCCCGAGCTGCGGATGAGAAGTGAGAGAACCCGGAGCCCGGTACGGTGGCTGGCCACCACTGGCTTCGTGAAGGAGATCGTCACTGTTTTCTGTGGGGGGAGCCGATGGTGGAGGTGCAGGAACTATTGCGATCGAAGGAGCAAAATCGTCTGAACTGGTGGAGGACAGCGTGAGGCCCTGATCGGAGTCGATCCCATGGCAAATTGACGACGGTGGTGTATGGCCGGGAGAACTTTGCTTTTCGGGGAAGGTATCCACGTGGGACGGTAGTTCTAGGGAATTTGGTCGAGGAAGCGGGGCTCGGTCCAGTTCTGCGGCAGCAGAAGCTTGCGCTATTGGAGGTTCACTTCGAGCTTCGTCGTTATCTGCCCCAGCTATTGCTTCCTCCGCAACTGGTAGATCCTCTCTAACAACCGCAGACTCCGTTTCGGTACAATCGATAAATTTGATTTCGCTACCATCGTCCACCGCTTCCTGAGTGATTCCTGGGACGTCGTTGTCGGGAATATCGTCTACGTTAATATCCTGAACTACGTTGGCACCGTTCGCAGCGTTCATGGCTGCCAAATCATTAAATTCCAGCGTTGAAGCCTGCGAGATAAGATCCTCATCGTTGTCTCCTCGGTTTGACTCCGGAATACTCTCGTCGCTTCTGGTATCAATACTGTTGTGACTGCCAATACTGATGGTATCTTTCCGATCCTTTTCCTCGGTTGACTTTTCCTCTACGGCTTCCACTGCATTCGATTGAACTTCCACTGCGCTCGCGGCTACAGTGTTCGGCCCTGGTGCTACGGTCTGTTGAATATCATATTCTTCCAACTCTTGCAAGTAACTTTCCAATTCCGTATCCGAAACGTCATCCATCGTAGACTCAAATCCAACCACCTTCTTCACTTCGGTTCTCTCCTCGTCGACCACTTCCGGCAGTGCCAGAATTGCATCTTCTTTCTTGCTCGGCTGTTCCAATGGAATGGAAACCTCTTCCGGACCTTTATTGTCTCCCTGGCCGGCGCTCGTTAAATCCACTGCCACTATGGATGATATCGATGATATACCTGCAATTGTTGATAAAAAAAAAGCAATTAAGTCATTAGATAACCCGTAATCTACCCTAACCAACCTTCCAAATTGATAACGTCGTTGCTCAGCGTATCGGAATACAAACTGTTTTTGTAGGAAAACGCTGACGTATCCTGCTGCTCGCTGGGGCCGGCTTTCTTCTCCGGAGCCACCTGACTCACCGGTTGCTCTTCGTTGGTCGTAGCCAGCGTTGTATTCTCGGACGAATCCAAAATATAATCCCCAGCACTCAGCGACAGTCCTTCGTTTAAGCGTTCATGCACATCCGCATCGCCGTGTTCCTCTCCGTCGCTGGTGGAAGTCGATGACGAGGACGACGGGGTGGACGACGCAGATGACGAGCAACTGCTATTCCTTCGCTTATGATGATGATGATGGTGGTGGTGCTGGTGGTGGTGATTTCCATGTTCGGAACTATTTGACGCAGTGGAGGATGTTGATAGTCGACGACCAGCGTCGTTGCCGCCAGCGCCGTCGCCACCGACCGGTGACGAAGATGTGTGGGATTCAGTGGAAATTGACGAACTGGACGGTGAAATAAGAGGCTTGCTGTCTCCGTTGGTGCTGGCGGAATCTGCCGCCTGTGGTTGGATTTCAACTTGCTGAAGCTTCTCGTTCAGATCGGTACCGGCGTTTACGTATTCGTTCAAGCTGTTGAATACGGTCGACACGTTGATGACGTTGGTTTTCAGCTTGGTTTTATCTGATGCAATGGCGTTATTGTTGCTGTTGCTGCTGCTGCCGCCAATGGCGGAACCTGTTTCCAAGGTACTTGCAGTTCCATTTTCTTGAATCTGTGGTAGCTGTTGAGGTTGGGGTGCGGGTTTTAAAATGGGCTCTGCCGTCGATACCTCTGGTGGTTCTTGCGATGGTTTAGATGATGTTGGTTCTAAAATGGAATAGAAACATGTGCTCTGGTTAGAGTATGGGCATATATTTACTAGTTTTAGTTTAAAAATGCGAAGAGAAAATACAGAAGTAATAGGAACTCGATTAATGCGAACAAGAGTCGGGATTGCTTGGTGGACTTCTGTGGCTCGGAGAAAGTGTGACTAAATACATTGGTGGGCAGAGATGTGACGGGCTACACAACCGTGTGGCACCGTTGTCAATTTGAACCACACAATTTCTTTGAGTGCAACATTTATATTTTATCTCATTTATCCCAGTTACTTACTTACTTACTTATCCTGGTCCGACATCCCTCAGGATTGCACCTGCATCACAATGTTACGCCAATTCACTCGGTCCGTGGCTGCTTGTCTCCAATTTCTTGACCGTCCCACACTTCCAAGATCCTGCTCCACTTGGTCTAACCACCTTGCTCGCTTTGCTCCTCTTCGTCTTGTACCGGCCGGATTCGAGGCAAAAACCAACGTGTCCCGCCCATCGTACCCGTCCAGCTTTCGCGACTTTCTGGATACAGGGTTCGCCATAGAGTTGCGCCAGCTCGTGGTTCATCCTTCGCCTCCATACACCGTTCTCACATACCCCGCCAAAGATGGTCCTAAGCACTTGTCGTTCGAAAACACCCAGTGCTTGCAGGTCCCCCTCGAGCATCGTCCACGTCTCGTACCCGTAGAGAACTACCGGTCTTATCAGCGTCTTGTACATGGTTAATTTAGGAAGTACCTACCGGTCTTATCAGCGTCTTGTACGTGGTACATTTAGTACGGAGGTGAAGTTTACCCGACCTCAGGGTCTTGTGGAGTCCGTAGTAAGCACGACTTCCGGCAATAATACGCCGACGAATTTCTCTGCTGCAGTTGTTATCCGACGTCACCAATGATCCGAGGTACACAAATTCATCCACCATATCGAACTCATCCCCGTCGATTGTCACGCTTCTGCCTATGCGAGCCCTATCCCACTCGTTTCCTCCAGCTAACAGATACTTTGTCTTCGACGTATTCACCTTTAATCCAACCTTCTCTGCTTCACGTTTCAACCTTGTGTACTGCTCCGCCACGGCCTAAAACGTTCTTCCGACAATGTCCACGTCGTCAGCGAAGCAGATGAACTGGCTGGACTTATTGAAGATCGTGCCCGCATGTTAAAGCCCGCACGTGTCATAACACCTTCTAACGCAACAGGAACAGGAGGCAGGAAAGACCATCGCCTTGTCGAAGACCTTTGCGAGTTTCAAACGATTCCGATAACACACCCGATATCTTCACACAGCACTGTACACCATCCATCGTAGCCCTGATCAGTCTGGTCAGCTTCGCGGGAAAACTGTTCTCGTCCATAATCTTCCATAGCTCTTCACGGTCAATAGTATCATAGGCAGCCTTGAAATCGATGAATAGTGGATCTGCCGCAACGTAAAGATTTGGTCCGTTGTCGATCGCCCGTCCACAAAACCGGCTTGATAACTTCCCACAAATCTGCTTGCTAGCGGCGATAAACGGCGAAAGATGATCTGGGAAAGCACTTTGTAAGCCGCGTTAAGAATAGTGATCGCTCGATAGTTCTCACATTCTAGTTTGTCGCCTTTTTTATACTACTGGTCATATTACTCCCTTTTTCCACTCCTCCGGTAGCTGTTCTATATCCCAAATCCTGACTATCAGTCGGTGCAGACAAGTGGCCAACTTATCTGGGCCCATTAGGATAAGTTCCGCTCCGATACCATCTTTCCCAGCTGCTTTGTTGTTCTTAAGCTGTCGGATAGCATCCTTAACTTCACCTATCGTGGGAGCTGACATGTCCCCCTCATCCGCTGTACCGACGAAGCCATTCCTCTTGCCGCCTTGATCCTCCGCCTCGGCGCCGTTCAGATGTTCATCGTAGTGCTGATTCCACCTTTCAATCACCTCACGTTCGTCCGTTGAGATACGCGCTTCCTTATTCCGACACATTTCGGCTAGCGGCACAAAGCCTTGGTGGGATGCGTTGAGTTTCTTGTAGAACTTGCGTGTTTCTTGAGAACGATACAGCTGTTCCATTTCTTCGCACTCCAGCTCTTCCCAGGCGGCGCTTCTTATCCCGGAAAAGATGGGTTTGCTGTCTTCGCTTCTGTTTATATCGCTCCACATTATTAGCGAATTTGTTTATTATTCAGTTCCAACCTGGATCGGGTATCAAGATCGGCTCTGCTTGTTTTCTGACAAACGTCAGTTTGATCGTTTGTTTTTAAAACCTACCTCAGGTTCAGGTTCGCACTGACAAAAAGTTCGGTTTCACATCATTCAGTCCATTCCGCTCCACGAACCCAACGGCGCCTTCAGCAGCGCTGTTAATGGCTGCTTTCACGTTGCTCCAGCAGTCCTCAAGAGCGGCTTCGGTGAGCTCTCTCTGTGAGCTGCGACGCGGCATTGCACGTACTCAGTTGCGACTTCGGGCAGCTTCAGTCGCTCCAGTTTGTACCGTGGCGGGCGTCGGTACCGAATGTTGTTGGCAACGGAAAGTTTTTGGCGCACCTTGATCATTAGAAGGTAGTGGTCCGAATCGATATTTGCGCCGCGATAGGTCCTGACGTCGATAATGTCCGAGAAGTGCCTTCAGTCGATCAAAACGTGGTCGATTTGCGATTCTGTCTGCTGCGGTGATCTCCAGGTGTACCGATATGGGAGGCTATGTTGGAAGTAGGTACTACGTATGGCCATGTTCTTAGAGGCGGCGAAATCGATGAGTCTAAGGCCGTTAGCGTTCGTTAGCTGGTGAGCGCTGAACTTTCCTATAACCGGTCTGAATTTCTCCTCCTGGCCGACCTGAGCGTTAAGATCACCGATGACGATTTTGACGTATGGCTTGGGCAGCTGTCGTATTCCCGTTCCAGCTGCGCGTAAAAAGCGTCTTTATCGTCATCGTCACTTGCTAAGTGAGGGCTGTGCACGTTGATTATGCTGACATTGAAGAAACGGCCTTTGATCCTCAATTTGCACATTCTGCTAGCGATTGGCCACCACCCAATCACGCGCCTCTGCATTTCGCCCATCACGATGAAAGCTGTACCCAGCTCATGTGTATTGCCACAGCTCTGGTAGATGGTATAACCATCCCTATACGTATGTACGGACGATCCCTTCCAGCAAACCTCCAGCAGCGCTACATTGTCGAACTTGCGGACCCTCAATCAATCGGAAAGAATGCGGGTACTTCCCAAGAAATTGAGAGACTTGCAGTTCCATGTTCCGAGTTTCCAATCGTTAGTCCGTTACCGTTGCTTGGGTCGATGCCGATTGTTCCGGTCCGTATTTACATTGCTTGCTTCCTGTACTTTTATTTTTTTTACTGCTGGCTTGTAGGGCCTGCACCAACTCCCGTTGTTTCGCCGGGGGACGCTGGCACCAGGACGTTGATCAGCCCACCCTGGCACCAGGACGTTGATCAGCCGCTCCTAACATGGAGAACAGACAGCCGTTTTGAGCCGCACCTCCATGGTGAACAGACGCTCGAAGACTGCACTCTCCGGAGAGAGGAGTCCCCCCTTTCCTGTCAGCATACGACCAAGGTCCCACCAGGATTGGTTACCCGATCTTCCCTATGGTTACTCGTACCCTAGTCGGTAACGTGGGGAGGTAGGGATATGAGGCTAAGCACCGCTAGTGGGTTTATACCTGCAGATACGCGAAGTATCAATGGTACGCATTGTCCAGCCGTTTACCAGTTATCCCAGTTTACCACACTCAATGTAACACACACTAACACCATAGAGGTAACTCTAAGACCACTGGGTTCCGAAGAAAATCATTATTATTTTTGGCTCACTCAGTACCAGAACAACGGTCCCAAGCAGTCCCAAGCTATTTCACTCACCCCTGCATGTTCTGCATGAATCCACACACCCCTGATGTTATCTGTCAAACTTTCATAGCGAATCAAAACAAACATAGTGTAGTAATAGAATTTCAACTAGAATAGGGTACGTTAATCGTTTGCTTGGGACCAATAGGCTACTAAAGTGGTGAGCCAATTTAAAATCGTTAGTTTCGTATTGATTGTTGCTAACACGCACACTACTTTACTATCACTCTGCTACGAATCTAATGTCGTTTTCGTTTTTACTACACTACACCGGTGTAGTGTAAGCAGCAATAAGCGCGAGTCACTGACAACTCCTCATCATTTGTTTGTAAACAAAGGTGCAACCGATAGCTACACCCTGAAATGTTTCGGTGTTCGGAGCTACACCGCAAAAACGAAAACGACTGTCCTTTATTTAACGTCGGTCTCTGTTCCGCAATCTAGTGCCAATCACCGACGGACATCGATTGCCATCCATTGACGGCAATCGAATGTGCAGGAAGGCAGCTTCCACACCTGCGTAGGATATCGCACCCATTCAACAACACATGGGCCGGGACCAACGGCTTTACTTCCCTTCCGAAGGAAGACGTGACCAGAGATGTTTATGCCTCAGAAAAATCCCACCGACCTCGACTGGGATTGATAAAATCCTTTCCCGAACGGTTTGCTGATTTTCTTTCATCTCGACAGGAATCTCACTGACAACTGCACAACTGAGCGGATGTAAACAATACACTTTAAAGAGAAATTTGGCAACATTTGGCGACATAAAACTGAATAAAGATCATTCCATAATTGTCATCCTTTTGAAACGCACGCGTATTTTTCTCCATTGTCCAAGCCAGCCACTCTGCACCAGGTTATGTAAAAGTGAAAAGTTCGTGGTATATGCGTCCAGAAATCGAAGTTTTCGCGTGTTTTTTTTTCGACCGATTTTTTGCGTGTGCGATGGAAGGAAATCGATTCTCCAGGCAAAAGCTGGGGAATACCAATTACCCGACGTGGCGCTTCAAAGTCGAACTGCTGCTCGTTCGAGAGGAGCTCTGGCGCTACGTGGATCCGTGTGTGAAGCCTGAAGATGAACCCGACGCGACGTGGAACGCGGGAGATCGGCCTACTTATTGAAGATAACCAGCA